ATTTAAAGATTTCATTAAAATTTGCTGTTTTACATTCTATGGCTTTATCGAAAAAATCTGCGTTTAGCTTGTATATATGCTGTGATAGAGTTGGTATTTTGAGGTCTGCATGTATATTGGTATTCCGGATGAACCATCTTGCACAGGTTATTTTTCTAAGGATCTTGTTTTGGCATTGGTTTAATTTCTTCAGTAGATGTTGAGGTATCGTTGTCCAGGCAGGTGAGGCATAGGTAAGTATTGGGCGGATCATTGCTGTATATAGTAGCTTCTTTAGTTTAAGTGACATATTCTGATTATATATTAATGGTTGTATGGATATCAGAGGAGTCAGGGCTGTAAGCCTATATTTATCAAGACGGAAAAGAGTAAAAACTGGTGACAAATGAATTTCATTTTTTAGCTTTTTTTCGAGAATAATAAAAATCCATAACAACCAATTATTTTTAACTCATACAATTTTTATATTGAATTGCTTATTTACCGAGAAAAAATTACATACCTGCCAACTTTTTAACCTTTCAAGAATGGTTTTCGCCAGTGGTAATCAAATGGAATATAAATTGCAATTATAGGCTGAAAAATAAACTGTTATTTGTACAAGCTTATGCAATCTTCAACATCAGTATTACGTATTTTTATATATGCTTAATTTTTTTAAAAATAGTGGTGGATAAAAAAAAGATTATAAATGCAAGGAATACATTAGAAAGCATACATTTTACTACCACTTTAAATATAGAAATAAAATTTTACGCCAAATACGTAAAAGTTGGCAGGTATGAAATTAATTATTGTTGACCTGGAGCAATAATATTACGCTGGAGGAATTTCGCCAAATGTAATAGCTTAATATTTGACTTTAGCTTATTAGTCTAATGTTCTATTTGTTTAGTTTGAAAATTATACATCACGCTTATTTAGAAAAAAATATTTTAAGCTATGAAAAATATTGATAATAATTTTTAATAACTAAATTTGTTTAAAATGAAATGACTGGAAATTCACACTATACGCACGAGCTCTTGGGTGGAACTACATCACCGATACGTTAATAATGTATTTGGCTCTGTTGTTACTACGCAACTGACAGTATCAAATTGGTTCATCAAATTCTGGGTTGCCAGCTTTCAACGCTTTTTGTAAAAATTTAACTTAGTGGTAGCTAAGTTTATGTTTTAATGTATTATTTTTTTATTCATTTAAATTTATTTTCCACACCACTTTATATAAACGATTTAAAAGTTTATATGCAATGCTGTTTTGTTTCAGCTCTCTCGCGATAAGGCTTTTAAAATGCCGCCAAAAATTACCCAAAATCCTAAGAACTTTATAAAATATTTTGCGAAAATCGTAGTAATTAGCAGGCATGTAAATTACATGCACGGGTAACTTTGACCATACAAATGAGCCACTATTCACCTAGAAACAAAGGTCAATAACGAGGTCCTAAAGGTCATTGTTGAAGCTGACCCACCTCAGACCATAACAGCAGAAATATACAGCAAACCAGCTCTACGAAATGATGTAAAATGTTAAGTATTTAGAACAACGATCATCCAGAAGAGATTATTGAATAAGCAAAAAAAATAATAATAATTGAATTAAAGGTTCTGTTGCATTTATATATGTACTTGATCTTAATTAATTCGGTCGTGAGGATCTCAAACCTGAAACTAGTTAAGTTCGAAAGACTACAGATACTTTTTTTTTTCAAATGACACTTTTAGTTTAGTTTGTTTTTTGTCTGAGTATACAAGTTTAAAAAGAACATATAGGCATGTGTATATATAATGAAGACCGACCTGTGTCCGGGAACTGGTCTTGCATCAGAAAGGTTCTGGGTTCGAAACTCGGGAAAGGCATGGATGTTATTTCATTCTCTGTACTATCTGTCCTTACCGTGGGAGCAACGTTGGCCCCAGGGCCGTAACTACGCCGGGGCAGTCGGGGCACCGCCCCGGGGCCCCGACGGTCAANTTCTCGAACATAATACATAAATAGCTAAAATGGCGGTTTGAGATGGAGTACTGAAAGTTTTTGAAAGGCCCCCCGCCAAAAATGTTTGCCCCAGGGCCCAGAGGGATGAAGTTACGGCACTGGTTGGCCCACCTAATATGGTGCCTCTGAAAAAGTGGCCAACAAATCTGCCCTTTAGATACCTGGTTGACGAAAGGTCATTCCTCAGGCAGACATTTGTCTGCTCCTTTGAAAACAACACTTAAAAAAACATATGACCTTAACGTATCCGGTGATAAACTGAAATATACTACTGTTTGTCTGACCGGTACTCTGACCGCCTCTAAGTCTGCGGCAGTCTGGTGCTATGGAAACAAGAAGAGGCCATTTTAGGGAGGGTAGCTTTGATGAAAGACATCTCTTCTCTCGCCGAAACCAGTCCTAAACAGGGATCCCGCATCCCTACTTGAAATTATCATACCTCGTTACCATAGTCACCGCCACAGCTCCAGACGAATGTCTGGCAGAGTACCTATCTTAGACAAACTATATGTCATGTATCTTTCTACCTTTCCCTACATTGCAGAGAAACAGGGCACTTAGAATTCATTGGAGTGAATTTTCAAAAAATTCTCGTTGGGATTATATTATTAAATAGTATAAAAATTATTGCTGATAGAGAGAAACCTAGTGCAGATTTGAAATCAACAACGCAAAAATTTAGAAGATGAGTACAAAAATCTCATGCAACAGAAAAAAAAGAAAAAATTGTCCATCTGTGTAATTTTTTAAGGATTTTTTTCCTTTCACTTTTTCGCCTTTTTATAAAATTTCAGCATTGTGTTTATGTATTGTTCCATTGCTCTTAATTTCTTCAAACCTAAAAATTTGATGTATTATTGCATTTCATTATGAATTCTATTGCTCTCAATTTTTCAAACCTGAAAATTTCATGTATTATTGTATTCTATCATGTATTCTATTGCTCTCAATTTTTCAAACCTAAAAATTTTATGCATTATTATATTCTATTATGTATTCTATTGCTTTCAATTTTTTCAAGCCTAAAAATTTTATGTATTAGAGGCTTCTTACGATGCTTAAAAAATTTAAAAACGTGGAAGAAAAATAAGTAATAATAATTGCATCATGTAATGTTTGTAACCAACACAATATTCTGATAACTTCAAGTAATTACACTGCTCAAAATTATTAGGGGAGCACATGGCTCCCCTAATTTTTTTGAGCAGTGTATATCCAGATAAAAAATTTATGGATTTGAATTTTTAACATTAAAGCAGAGCTGCAAACAATTGCGGTTTTTTTTCCAAAACATTTTATAGAGTGGTAGACAATTGAAAACTAAAGGTTTCAGAATTTTTGATTATATTGCCAACCTTTTGAAAGACTCACCATGGGAGAACAGGAACAAAGTGGCGTTTCACATGAGCTTTTGAATCATTTACTTGTAATGGTATGAAAATTAATTTTAAATCAAATTTACGAAACAAAGAATTATACATTAAAACTTAAACATAGTTACCACTGAAAAGAGTGTTTCCCCAAAGCGTTGAAAGTTAGCAGACCTGTTAAAGTGAAAGCTAATACAAAGAAATTTGTGTCTTTCTTTCAAATTACATTGCTGCTATCATTTTATTATTCCATGGAGTGTACGAACCCTGATTATTGATTTTAAGTAGATTAGATAAATTGATGAAATTCTTATTTAAATGAAATTAAACACATCCAATATTTTGAAACAAATAACAGCATGAAACTCATGTTGAGCAGATGTTCAATGACGCCGTTCGTAAACTAAAATTTTTTTCTTTCATCGTCACGTTTATTTAAAAGAAAAATACAAAGAGCACATGTTATTTTAATAAATTGTTTCAGGTGCAAAATAGACCTCACTGTAAGATTAAAATCATGGAAACAACAACCAAAAAAATTAAACTGTAAGCTTTTTTCGACCAATCAGAAAACAGGTAGAATTCTCAGGTGGAATGAAATATTTCTCTATTGACTGAGCATTAAAATCTTTACTACTACTATGTTTTTCGAAATTTCGATAATGTAAAATAATTTGTTAATTTAGTTTTGTTCAAAATTTCAACTTTAGATGATTCTTAAAAATGTTAGTATCATTTGCAGCCTCTATATTCTTTGTTAATTTCATTAAGAAGGATATTAAGGTGTCTTTACACCTATTGAATCATTTCGTTAACAGTTTATGGGTTTTTTTGGAATATAGGTGTTTGTTTTATACTCACGTAAGTACAATAAAATTTGTGAAACACCTGGTTGAAATGAAAAACACGATTCTGTAAATATTCTTTTGCACAGGTAACTTGGTGAAAAAAGATAATATTTTTCTTAAAACCATCAGGATATATTGTGTTTCTTTTGGATAAAGATTACGCATTCTAAAATGATTTTAAAAATTTTAGTTCCTGTGGTGGTAGCTGTTCTGTATCTTATCACCTTTGGTATGTTTATTTTTAAATATATTTAATTTAAATACGTTCGAATTCTTATACCACGGTGGTCTGAAAATGCTTCTACCTCAAAAGTGGCGATACATTTACACTTAACTTTAGTGTATATTTTCTTCTATTACTTACCACTTCATATTGAAAAAATTATATTCTAGTACTTAGAAATATTTTGCCTCGCCAAGATAAACATGTCCTTTCCAGCATTTGAGGTTTTCGCAAAATGTTTTTACAGTGGTAGTAAACTAATGCAGATACATCTGAAACAAATACAACATTGATGCATCTTTATTAGGACTTGAGAATATAACCGTATTTCTTACTGTCTTCTTATTTATCTGTTTATTTATTTATAGATAATAGTAAGCAGAATTTATTTAGTTCTAACTTATTATATTACTCCCTCCGTTCCAAATTAGTTGCCATATTTAGGTCGAAAATTTTGTCCCTGCTACATTCAGGCCGAAAATTTTTTTCAAAATTAGTTGCTGCATTTAGGTGGAAAAGTTTATCCAGAATTAATTGCTGCATTTAGGTGGAAAATTTTATCCAGAATTAATTACTACATATAGGTGGAAAATTTTGTCCAGAATTATATATTACATATAGGTGGAAAAAATTTTTCAAAATTAGTTGCTGCATTTAGGTGGAAAATTTTATCCAGAATTAATTACTACATATAGGTGGAATATTTTGTCCAAAATTAGTTGCTGCATTTAGGTGGAAAATTTTATCCAGAATTAATTGCTACATTTAGGTGGAAAATTTTATCCAGAATTAATTACTACATGTAGGTGGAAAGTTTTATCCAAAATTAGTTGCTGCATTTAGGTGGAAAATTTCATCCAGAATTAATTACTACGTATAGGTGGAAAATTTTGTCCAAAATTAGTTGCTGCATTTAGGTGGAAAATTTTATCCAGAATTAATTGCTACATTTAGGTGGAAAATTTTGTCCAGAATTAATTGCTGCATTTAGGTGGAAAATTTTATCCAGAATTACTTACTACTTATAGGTGGAAAATTTTGTCCAGAATTATGTATTACATATAGGTGGAAAATTTTTTTCAAAATTAGTTGCTGCATTTAGGTGAAAAATTTTATCCAGAATTAATTATTACATATAGGTGCAAATATTTTTCAAAATTAGTTGCTGCATTTAGGTGGAAAATTTTATCCAGAATTAATTATTACATATAGGTGGAAAGTTTTGTCCAAAATTAGTTGCTGCATTTAGGTGGAAAATTTTATCCAGAATTAATTGCTACATTTAGGTGGAAAATTTTGTCCAGAATCAATTGCTGCATTTAGGTTGAAAATTTTATCCAGAATTAATTACTACATGTAGGTGGAAAATTTTGTCCAGAATTATGTATTACATATAGGTGGAAAATTTTATCCAGAATTAATTGCTACATTTAGGTGGAAAATTTTGTCCAGAATTAATTGCTGCATTTATGTGGAAATTTTTTTTCTAAAATTGGTTGCTACATTTCAAGTAGGCGGATACATAAATAAACTTCAATACAGTTTAGTACATCGAAACCAGTAAAATTATACCACCAATGAATTCACGATTCATTACATTTATATAATGACTGGCGACTTTTCTCGAGTCTTTATAAATTAATTAGTGACTTAAGAACGTGCGAGCTGTTAATTTTTTAAAAATTAATTTGGCTTTGATTTAAGAAGGGAATATGCTTAGTAAGTACATGAAATTTGTTGATTAATAGCATAACATCCTGAAATCTCTTAAAAATGTTCAAACAAAAATCATTCAATCATCAGTATTAATAACCAGTACAAAAGTACTCAAATGTAAGAACTAATTGCGGCCAAAAGAAGTATAACATCACCATTGCTATCACCAAAATTTTCTCTCAAGCTAATTAAGAGTATGCATAAATGGTAATAATAAATTACGGTAGAGCCACTTTTTATTTGTTAGCACTAAATAAAATCATTATGAATGTGATAGGTGCTATCAAGAGCTGTCACAAAAACTTACCTCAAACCAAGTCACAGATTGAAAATCCCTAATTATAACACTTTCAAATACGATAGAATCCTTCGTAAAGACGGCGGGAGCGCAATCTTCATTTACAAAAAATATCGAACATTAATCTACAACATCAGTACAAATGACAATAGGAAAGAGAGTCCTATTACTATCCGACTAGAATTTTTTCCCAATGATTGGCTACTGGGGAATGACCAAAGACAAGCAGGCCTCCGAAGAGCAAATTTGTTGGTCACTTTTCTAGAAGCACCATATTAGGTGGGCCAATGTTGGTCCCACAGTAAGGACGGATCGTACAAAGAATGGAAGGACATCCTTGCCTTACCCGGGATTCGAACCCAGAACCTTTCTGAAGCAATCCAACTGGAAAATAGAAATATTAAAATAGTCTCTATTTATATTGCACCTAAAAATGATATTAATGAAGATTATTTCATAAATCTTTCTTCATCTAACCTTGACACAATTGTTCTTGGTGATTTAAATACTAAAAATAGTATTTGGGGACGTGAAAAGGACAAAAAATTAGGCAGAGAACTGCATGATATTATCAAGAAATTCAGCTTAACTGCTTACTCCCCTGAGCAACCTACTTTCTCCCATCATTCTGGTCCCATATGAAGTTTTTGATATAATGATTACTAATTTCTCATCACCTTTTGCCATCGAAACGTTAAACGAACTCAACAGTGATCACTTCCTCGTTTGGATCACGACAATTATAGAAACGAAAGAAAGTGATCACTTGAGGAAGAAAGCAGATTGGCTTCTGTTTCATAATATTCTACACATGACTAAGACCAAGACTACTGATGATAATCCTTTAACAATTGACGACATCGATAAAGGCTATCTCAGATTTAACAAACTCTTTTTCAATAGCTCTTGCCGAAGCTACAGAATTTTTTCCCCACCTGTATGCAAGATCTCCCAAAATATATTAGAGACATCATTAAAAAGAAAAACAAAATTAGGAAAAGATTCCAGCAAAAGTTTAGCACGGACTTGAAAAAAAATCAAGCCCAAAAATAAAGATATTAAAGATATGTGCAATAAACACAGTAATGAACTTTGGAACAAGAAACTAAACAGCTTAAATATTACCTATAACTATACTGAATATTACCAGAGCCCTAAAAAGAACACCTTTAAATAACGTCCCACTAAACGGGCCGAACGGCACTGTTCATATTGAAAATGAGAAAACCAAAGTCTTTACTAATTCTATGGAAGTACATTTTAGCAACGATGATGAATCTAACTGCCAAGAATCGTAAATGACACTTATGATGAGATCATCAGCAGAGAGACTAGGAGCACTATTGAACCGACAACAGTAGAAGAGATGTCCGAAATTATTGGACTCAACAACTTGTATCTCCCTGATAAATGGAAGAAATCGGATATTATCCTGTTCCCGAAACCGGGAAAAAGCGCATCTGACCCAAACAATTACCGACTGATCAGCCTGCTATCTATGCTTTCAAAAAATATAACGAAGACTTAATGAATATCTAAGAAACCTCCCAAATCAGCAATTTGGTTTTCGGAAAAATCTTTCTACCACGAAACAAATAATTAATATATTGGAAAACAGTAGTAAAGTCAAGTTCAAGTATAACACGGTCCTTATGCTCATGCTCGATATCGCCAAGGCGTTCGATCGAGTGTGGCATTGTGGACTCATTGTCAAGCTGCACATGCAAGATATCCTTGATGATTTACTACTTTTAATCAATTCCTACTTAACAGACTGAAAGTTCAGAACATGATCAATAACACCTACTCTAATTACAGGAAAATTAAAGTTGGTGTGCCACAAGGCAGTATTCTCGGTCCATTATTGTACATACTCATACTGTTCATTTCCTTATTAATAATGACAATCCAAATGAATTCACCGTTCTCTACGCAGATGACGCTGCTCTAATTACAATATCGATCAATCACATCCAAACAGTTAAGCAAATGCAAAATAAAATTACAGAAGTAGAATGCGCTAATTGGAAAACAGAGTCGTATTATTTGTTCGCTTGGGTCATCATAACTGAGTCACATGCAAAGTAGTTGCCGGACTATCTATCGCTTACATAACCTTCCCTTTATCGTTGACAGATTTTTGTAAATTTCGAGTAAATATGTAAATAGTTACATAGAATAGTTTTTTTTTAATTACACCTGCGTAAATCTTAATATTATTTGAGCTATATTCTAACGTTCTAATAGGTGCTATCAAGTGAAAATATTTTAGAATATTTTTGCTCCAACATTAATCTCAGGCAACATAAAAAGTTTTACTTTTACTTTATTTATAAAAAATTGGGCACCTGGGCCGCGCAGCGGCCCCTATCCCATACATCTAGAAATTTACATAAGTTTAAAGTGATAACATTTTGAATTTAGCAGTCGATGTGGTTGCTAATACAAAATTACAAGCACTTTGCTTGGGTAAATAAACATTTGAATATCGAAACTAAATTTACACATATAAATATAAGCATATAAATATAAACATAATTTGAAATATATATACATAGGTTGACATAGATAAACATAGTAGATATAACATTTGACTATAGAATCTAAATTGACACATATTGACATATATAAATATAAACATAATTTGAAATATATATACATAGGTTGACATAAATTAATATAGTAAATATAACATTTGAATATCGAATCTAAATTGACATCTGTTGACATATATAAATATAAGCGAAATATTGTTCATTAAATACAATAGAATTTGCAAAAGAATTTAACGTGCATAAGTTGATAAATACATATGCATTAATTGGCTATATTTTCAGAAAATAAAATTTGATGTAATTTAATTTAACATAAGTAAAAGTCTACTGTGAAAAGTTCAGTGAATTTAACTTGAGAGTCTTG